AGATTTTTTAACAAGATTCATTAACTCATCTTTAAACTCCCCTCACTGCTCCTTTCATCGACACATCTATCCCAACAAATACTGAAACAGTTAAAGTATTATAGATTATAGGGTTAGGTTAGATTATAGATATATTTAACACCTCTTGTGTGTATGTTGATGAGTTTTCACTCATGAATATGTCTCTGCTGGCGTCATAACAATGGTGAATTAATACAGAAAGTACATGTGTTCTGTGTGTTTTCCTCAGTCAACACTCAGATGCTTGCACATATTTACACCTGGGAGGTGCTCGCGGCAACCAGGGTCTTCACTCTTGTGCCACTAAGTGCAGCACTTGGCAAATCTTGTAAGTGCCTGGCTGAACACCACCTCACCAGCAGTTGCTGAGATATGGCTATTTCATGTTTTATTTAGCCTCAGGATTGAAGCCGGTGACATTCTGCTCCTGAGCGCCACCCCCTCACCATGGTGTGTTTGTGCGTGTCTGTTTATGTGACTTACGAAAGAGAAGTCTGGTGCATTTTGGCACAGTAGTCTGGGGAAGACTGCCTGTCTCTGGACACGCTCCTCATCCTCGAACACATTGCCGTACATGAAGCCATTCAGCATGGTGGAGTGGGCATGAACATCAATGTAGAACTCCAAACTCACCCTCTGATGGAGGGAAAAAGAGGGAGGACAGTAGGGAGGATAACAGAAGGACAAAGAAACAGAGAGAGAAGGTGAAAAACAGAAGGTTAGTGAGGAAGATGTCATATTTTTCTGACACTGTCGGCAACAGTCCACACCACAGAGTATCCACTGGGAGAGAGTGGAAGGCCTGTCTTTGCTCTTGGGACACTATGCTGAGGAGACGCTTCCACCCAGGAGACAACTCCAGACCCTAAAGGCATTGCAAACTGAGAATATGCTCATATCTAAATGGAGCCACACACCCACAGAAAACTTCAATAAGAATGTCCTCCTGAAGGGCACACCTACAATAGGCTATGTAGACACACACACACACACACACACACACACA